AACCAACCAACCAACCAACCAACCATCCATCCATCCATCCATCCATCCATCCATCCATCCATCCATCCATCCATCCATCCATCCATCCATTCCCTGGGGGAGAGCCTGGCATCAGAGCCAAGATAAAGAGACATCATGTTACATCATTTCTCCACCAACAGCACTGTTATAAGCGTAAAAGGTGAATGTGAACAATTTGAACCTGGCTCCCCACCCAACCCTTTCTCCTCCTCCTCCTCTTTTCATTCATTTGCCTATATTATGCAGCAAGATTTTGTTACTCCGAGCCCTCTGGGCCAGTCTCTCCTCTCTGGACATTTCCAGGAATTCTCGGAGAAGGTGAAACGTCAAGTCCAGGGAATTGGGGCGACCATCGCGTCTTTTGCTGGAGGCCGTCGATCGCTTGAAGTTCTGCTCTCGGCCCAGATATTCTTCCCCTTGCGGCTTGCAGGACCTTTGGGTTCTTGAGTTCTGGAACAGCCCCTCTTCTGAGCCGGCCGGAGGTAGGGAAGGCTTGTCTTCCCACTCGGAGCGTCTCATCCACGGCTCCCGACTCAGGCCGCCGATGGGAAGGAGATGAGCCATAGCTGGCCTCGGCCATTCCAGCGGGAGGCAGGACTTCAGCGGCAGAAAAAGCAGGAGGATGAACATGGCAGCTGAAACCGTCTGGGCCATCACCACCAACTCTTCAGCATCTAGGACAGAATCCAGCAGAGGAGTTATCATCAATCCGGAGAGAATGCCTTCCTTTCAAAACGGTTCTCCTTTTAATAGCAGAAAGCTTCAGAGCGGTTAACAAGGCACATAGACATGAAAGCAAGGAGTAAAAATAAGCTAACCACATAAGACATCCAAAGAGCCGCCCGTCCAAAAAGATAAAACAGGGAACAGCTTAAACACACATACAGCTATTTGAATGCTGTTTTCATCAACTCACAAATGTTCCAAAGAGATGGGATTTCAGTCACTCCTGATGGGATCATCAGAGGTGGAATCAGGCAGACTTCTCTCGGGAAGTACAGTAGCTTCACTGCTTTAAGGCTACCATGGTTTCCTGAACAGAGTCCCATTTTTAATTCCTACAGTCTCCGGTTAACAGTCTTGAGCAACAGGAATGGGAAATCTCAGGGTATAGCATCTACGGGTCCGAATTTGCCACCAACTCAGTTTCAATCAAGAACCGGCAGCCACCGCAGTAACTCGGCCCTGTGCCTCCCGAGCTAAAGGGCCGAACCTCTGTTTCATTACTGACCCTGGTAGGAAGAGATAGGAAGGAGGATGCTGACATGATTTAGGTGTGGTGGTTCCACTCAACCCCACAGAAACAGGGTCCCGTATCACAGGTGGTTCATAACCAGGGTGCCAGAAGATATTGGTTTTGGTCATAGCAACAGGACTGCAGTCAAAACAGCGAGGGGGTAAAATAACAACCAGAAAGGAGGTTCTCACAAGGACAAGTGGGGTGTTGTCCTATCTCAGGCTTACCCCACCTGCCACTGCACTGTTTGCCTCCTTACAAGAGGTAGAAGTCCTGTGTATGTGTGAATGCTTGGTTGACAAATCCTGTGTTTGCATAAGTGTGTGTGTGTGTGTGTTTAAGAGAGAGAGAGAGAGAGAGAGAGAGAGAGAGAGAGAACAAACACCCACCACTGGTTTGAGGCCTTCTGCCCCAGCAACCACAACAGCACCAACCCAAGGTCCATAAGGGTCCTAAACACTGTTAAGAAGGAAAAGCCCATTCATTGGTTCCTCCTCTCCAAGAAAACCCTCCATTGAAGAGAGACAATGCTTCTTGGACAGGCTGCTGAGGAAGAGGAGAAAGGGCAAAACCAAAAGGGACTTGGAATGGCGTGTTCTGGATGAGAACATCATCAGCTCAGTGGTTCAGGCATCTGACTTTGGAGACAAGAGGTTGGGAGTTCAATTCTTCACTGGGTCTCCTTGAGAGGAGCTGGACGATGATCCCTTCCAGCTCGGCCGTTCTAAGATTCGGAGATCAACTCCAGCCCCTGTCAAGGAGGCAAAGTGGGGAATCGAACTTCCAACCTCTGACTCCGCAGCCAGATGCCTAAGCCACTGAGCCGTTGACGGAAACCCTTTGCAGAAACACAACGTGTGCAATAACAATTGCCTTTTCT